AGACAAGTGAGAAGTCAGAAGAGTGAAGAGAGAAACTGACAGCCTAAGAGGATGAGGAAAACACAGGAAGACTGGCAACCAGCAGATATGTGGGGGAGACGGAAAGCCTATGTGAAATGTACACAAAGGAGGTGAGATCCTTGAGGGGAGAGCAAGGCATAAAGACAGGAAAATGGGGGAGGACAGGAAGAAAGGGAGAAAACTGGGTAGATCGGCAGAGAGACAAGCAAAGAGAAGGATAGGCAAAATAACAGACAGATGGGCAGACAGACCACACAGAGAAAATGACAGAGGGGCAGGTGGAGGTGGACAGGCCAATAGGCAGAGGAGAAAGAGAAAAACAGGATGGTCAGCAGAAAAGAAAACACACATATTGCTGGTCAAACATACAGGCATGGGGCAGATACGGAGACAGAGCAACAGCCAGTGACTGTGGGCAGAGTCAGGTGGAAGACCTGACAGACTCACCATACCCACACAGGCAGGCAGAAGGTCAGCCCTACCTCGTTCTTTAGGGATGGGGGCCTGTCCTCAGGATAGTCCCAGCCCATATCACAAGGCTGCGTCTCATTGGAGCGGTGGCCGAGGATGTCCTCCAGGCTGGCGTTGGCAGGGGGTGGCCGGAACTTGAGGCAGGGCTCAGGGCTGCCTGTGGCATCCAGGGGCACGCTCAGGGCCAGCTGCTCAGCAGCACTCAGATTGAACGTGTGGTTCTTGACCCAGGCCACTGCACAGTGGTGGGGCTCTTCCAGGACCATGAAGATGTGACCAAAAACATAGAAGGTACCCAAGAAGTTGGGCACACTCAGCAGGATCATTAGCTGGAGCTGGAAGCGACCAAAGTCGCCTATTTCAGCCAGGACCTGGGCAAATGGAGCCATATCTGCTGGACCACCTCCTCAGCCTGGGATAGCAGGTAACTCTGCAGCTTGCCTGTGGGGCAACGTGTGCCTCTGGGGAGTGGTGGCAACTCATTAATGTTTAAGCCAATCATTCCCAGCTCTACATGTCACATTGCCGCTCCCTTGGTGTTTCGGCTGCACACTTTGAATCCATCCCCTAAGGTTGGCCTCTGAGGAGTGGTCCAACCTGGCCATCAGCCCTTGTGAGGTCCTCACCTAGTGTGTTACCTAGCTGCCCTACTAGCCCCATGTAGGGCTTGGACTTCTTTTTTTTGAGTTGGAGTCTTACTCTGTCGCCCAGACTGGAGTGCAGTGGACACTCCCAGCCACCGCAGCCTCGACCTGCTGGGCTCCGGCGATCCTTCCACCTCAGCCTTCCGAGTAGCTGGAACTACAGGCACGTGCTACCATGCCCAGCTATTTTTAAAAATTTATTTATTGTAGAGATGAGGTCTTGCCAAGTTGCCCAGGCGGGTCTCGAACCCGCGGGCTCAGGCAATCCACTCACCTCAGCCTCCCAAAGGCGCGGGATTACAGGCTGAGCCACCGAGCCCAGCTTGGACTTCTTTCAGAAGCCACTATGAGCCCTGCACTCCAGTCTGGAACAGCGTGGGCAGGAATACAGAAGAACTCACTGTCTGCTTGGGAAGAAGGACCTGGCCCCTGGACACGGCCTCAAGTGGTAGCCTTGAGCATATTCCTTTCCCTCCTGGGACCCGAGTTTCCAACCAGTCACAGCAGGGCCCTTTGTTCCTCTCAGATTTTGCCTCTGCAGCCCCATAATCCAGTCTCCTGGAATGAGTTCTCTGACTCATTTTCCAGGGGACACATGCAGCCTGAGGACCCATGTCCCTGGGCCAGGCCATTTGGCGCTTCCCTGTGACTTGGAGAGGGAATCAGTCGCCAACAGGAGACTTCACATACATGCAACATCCTCTTGTTGAAGTCTGGCAAACGGGAAGGCATTCCCACATGGCAACAATTGGCAAAACTGAGCAGGGGCCCCTTTCTTTAGACTGATACACAGGGCGTGCTGCTTCTGTTTTATTCCAGCAGGAGGTCTGGCAGTGTCCACACTACCACGTGCCCTTTTCACTCCTCTACGCCTCTGGCCCAGAGTTTGGAATCCCTGATCACAGCAGGTTTAGGAGGCACACAAGAAGCAGAAGACACAACAGGAAGAGCATGCGTGTCTGTGTCTGTGTTTTGGGAGGTAGCAGAGGCTGAATGATAGCCCCCAAAGATGTCTATGTCTCAATACCCAGAACCTGTGAATATGTGGCCATACATGGCAAGGGGCCATCAAAGTTGCAGATGAGATTAAGGTTACTCATCAGCCGACTTTAAAATGGATCATCTTGGATTATCTGGGTGGAGTCTAGTAATTACAGGATCCTTATATGTGGAAGAGGGGACTGGAAAGTCAGAACCAAAGAAAGGCAGCATTGCATTCCAGGGGCACAATTGACCACAGTTCCTAAGGACAGAATGTGGCAAGGCAGTTTGGGAAAATTGCCACGAGTGAACCTTGGGCCTTTGTGCAGACTGTTTCCCGCACCAGGGCATCCACCCTCCCCTTGTTTGCTACCTTCAGTTGCGAAAGTTCTCCCTTGTGTCCAGACATCACTCAGTTGTCACCTCTCCTTCAAGCCTTCCTGACCCCACAGTTGGAAATGGCGTATGCCCACACACCTCTACTGTCTCCACAGCATTCTCCTGCTAACCACCCTTGGTCAGAGCTGCCTGTGTCTGACCCGTCTCTCCCATAAGCCAGAAGTCTCCTCTGCCAGGTTGGGGCATCAGAGCCCAGTTTTCATGCTGGGGAATGGAATGGGGAGCTAGGAGACGGAGGAATCAGCACAGCGTGTGGTAGTAGGCTGACCAGGAGGGAAGCTAACATCCCCTCGCTAGAAAAGAGAAAGCTTGTACTTCTGAGCTGCCTGAATCCCAGCAGGGGCCAAGCTGCCTCCTCCCCTGTAGCTCACCAGTAGCACTCTTGCTTTCTGAGGTTGTAGCAACTGACAGCTCTCTTCTCCTTGTTCCCTACCAGGAGCAGAGAAGCTCTGAGGGAAAAAGGAACAGCAACAAGGGAAGATGGGCCCCAGGCTGACCTGGTACCCAATCAGCAGATGCAGCATGTGCTCAGGACACTGGCATAACTGGGCATTGCTATGGTTCGAGTGTTTGTCTCGTCCAAAACACTTTTTAAACTTAGTCCCCAATATGGCAGTACTGAGAGGTGGAACCTTTAAGAGGGGGTTGGGTTGAGTGCTCTGACCTCATGAATGGATTAATCCATTTGTGAATTAATAGCTTAATAGGTTAATGGATATTCAGGAAATGGGGCTGGTGGCTTTATGAGAAAAAGATGAAATGCAAGCTAGCATGCTCATCCCCTTGCCAAGTAATTTCCTATACCCCTTTGGGACTTTGCAGAGGGTCCCCACCAGCAAGAAGGCAGTTGATTCCTGATATTTATGCTTGTGTCAGTATCAGGTCCCTCCAAGTCTCTTCCCAGGAATGTTGATCATTCTGCCTCAAAGGGACCAAGTGTCTCCATCTTAGAGGAGAAATCTACCTTCAGCTTGGAAATGGTCCTTTCCCCACGTTTGTTTTTTCTACACCTTGGCAGTTTCAGCCTGGGTGACACATAGTGCCAAGAAACACTTGCGTGTGTTCCCCAAGAGAATTCCACCAATGGGTCCACAGCAGGAAGCTAAGTAGAAATTTTGCCCATCATGTTGAAGCCGAGAACCGCATGTAAGAGTATCCAAATATTTGAAGGAGGGGTGCTGGATACCTCCATGCTGGATTTACAGGGAAACACTGCAGCACCCCCAGTCCCACTAGGCTATGTAAGAGAGGCAGAGTAAGCATGAGAGAGGGAGTTTCAGAAAGAGCCTTCTTAGGGCCTGGAGTGCCTATGAGAAAGGAGACTGAGACCTTCCTCCTGGTGTGAGATTACCTGGGGCAAGGATGGGATGATGATTGGGCAAACACAAAGAAGCATGGTGTTCTTATGAGCCAAGCAGATGCTGGGGAGGGCAGGCTGACTTGAAGTGGTTTGCTGGGAGCCTACCCAAGAAGGCCATCTTCTGAGGTGAGGATGGGAGCAGTAAAGAGAGGCTGTGGGAGCAGTGCTGAGGTGGGGATGGAGAGGGTCCCACGAGGAGTTGATCATACATTGGGAGTATGTTGCTCATGATAACAAGCAATGAAGAGGTCCTGAGTGGATCTCTGAGAAACTCATGAAGATGCCCTGGGAAAGAACCAGCATTTAGGAGCCCGACAAATTACACTGACTGGCCATGGCCCAATGTGCATCTGCAAAGATAGGATCAGCTTAGTGAGAAGACCTCGGCCCTTTTCCCTCATCCTAGATGGGCCCTGGATGACCCAGATGCAGCAGAACAGGAAGGGGAGGAGATGGGGGCATGGAGAGGAACAGAACAAGCCTCCTCTCCTTCCCCACAGCTGGCCTCTGAGCCACACACAGGTCAAGCACGGCTGATATAGGGCAGAGTTGGGATCACTGAAGACAATACAAGATAGAAGCTTTGATTTTACTGAAGGAGTAAGTCTTCTCTCCATAGGATCACATGACCTGTGGAGCCATACCTTAGACAGCTCTGGACCATCCACTGAAAGGGACCAAAACCTTCTCTTCATCCACAGCATTTTCACCCATTTGCTTGAGTTGAACCACAACTTCACATTTCCCCTCCTTTCCTGCTCCTACACCTTGGAATGGCCATATCTAGTGTTTGAGGGTGGGGGGGCTCCAGATGGAAGGAATCAGGAGAACCACATCCCCACAAGACAATCAGAGAAAAAGTTAAGGCCAAGACCCACTCCAGACCCGACACCAGATGGGATATTAGGAGCAGGGCTCTAGAAAGGGAAGGAGGCAGGGAGGTCCTGTTCCAGAGGCTTCTGGGATTGGGCTCACTGATAGGTGACTGGGCTGGGGCCAGGTCCTGCTGTGCAGCTTCCATAGGTGAGGCTGGTCTGGCCCCTATGTCCTCATGGGTCCTGGTCATATCGAGAGGCACATTAGGCAGCTCCCTGCAGCTGATGGGCAGGTCTTAAGGCCCTCAATCAGAAGTACGTGCTGCTCACAAAGGACACCCCCAGCCTGGAAGTTCTTCCTGTGGTCTCTGTTTCCTCTCCTAGGGATGATGATTTTGGAGACCTGGAGGGAGCAGAGAAGGCTGTCACTGGCTCCCCAGGAATTGCTCCAATGAAGTGTCCCCTACGATCCCTCTCCCAAAAGAAGGGGGAATCTGACCCAGAGCCAGCCATATGCTTCTGGCTCCAGCGGGCCCTGTGTTGGCCTCTGAGCAACCATGGCCTCATGGTGAGGGGGAGGCCAGGGAAATGGGAGAGGGGCTGCCATGGGAGGCCCAGGTCCTGACTTCAAACAAGCGAGCAGCTCACCAGGGGTGGAGCCCCTGCTCCAGGTCCTCGATGGTGTCCTTCAGGGGTTGGCCGCAGGTCTCAGGCAGCAGGATGCAGAGCAGACCCACCACGATGGGGAGGCTGCCGTAGATGAGCATGGGGAGGGCCGTGTGGTACTCTCCCAGCAGGATCACGAGTGGTGTGATAATGCCCCCGATCCGTGAGAAGATGCCCACCAGCCCCATGCCTGTCTGCCTGCAGGAAGGCCAGACCAAGCTGAGCAGACCTGGTCCCAACTCAGTCACCACTCCACCCCAGCATATGTCCTCAGGAGAGCCCACACCCCTTGCTGTGAACTTCAAATGCTGTAGGTCTTAGCCTCAACCAGCTCACCCAGCATGCGTGCTCCCTGCACCTGCCTGGTTCTTTCACCTCCCAACTTCTCTCTGCCTGCCATATTCCTGTTTACCTGTCAAGTCTCAGTTAAAAGTTCGATCTCTGACCTCCCTCTTCCCACCTGAGCACTCCTTCCCTGGAGTCATGCATTCTTAATTGTACCCTATGTTTCTGTCCCGACAAACCATGGCTTATCCTACTTCCACATCTGTCCTCCACCAGCCTGGGACAACTTGAGGACTCTGGCTAGATTCTAGCTGCCCTGTACCCCACCCAGCACAGCTGCCCCAGAGCCAGCCCCATTAGCTATTTGTAAAATGAGGTGACAGTGGAAGAGGGGTGACCACCAACAGGATCTCAGGAGCAGCAGGCAGGAGGCGCATCATCGGCTCTTACCGGATGACGGTGGGGAAGAGCTCAGCAGAGTACACGTAGGAGATGGTGAAGGCAGCTGCCATGGCAACCTTCCCCACCACGGCCAGCAGGGTGACCACCACAGGCTGATCTGGCAGAAGGTAGACAGCCCCATCGCCTAGGCCCTGTCCCCTGCCCTGGCCACCCAAGCTCCTCACCCCATCTGTACCCACACCTCGGGAAAGCCCTTTCTCCTGAAGGTGGGACAATGGCCATGGGTCTAGCCCCTGACAGCTGGCAGATGAGGCCCAGTCGGGTGGGGAACGCCTGCCCTGGTACCTGCTGGGATGAAGATGATGATGATACACATGAGGCCACCCAGAACCAGAGTCCCCAACTGGCTCCACCTGCGACCGAACTTCTGCATCATGAAGATGCTGGAACAGCGGGCAGGCACCTCAACGACTCCAAAGATGAGCTGCGTCAGGTAGATGTCCAGGCCAAAGTCCCCCACTTGGAGGCTCAGGCCGAAGTATCCCAGACTGTCCACAAACCTGCAAAGTGTCCAAGGGTTCCTGTCACTCTTGGGTGAGGAGACACCTTCACACACAAGTGGAGAGCTCACCCTAGTCAGCAGTCACAACAGAAGACATTGGCACAGTTAGGGAGAGACTGTCCCAGACAGAGGGAGCCACCATCTCCCCACTGCACTGAAATATACCAGGGAAGTGGCAATGCTTTGGCTCTGTTCTCAGAAAGGGGCATGGGCCCTGGTCACTCACCAGACACAGAAGAGAATCAGGGTCACCTTCTGGAGCTGGGGGTGTCTGAACAGATCCAGGGCATTCCCTGAAGGGCCTGTCTTCTCTGGGACCAGCTGGGAGGAAGATGCAGAGTGAAGGGCTAGGTAGGAAGGTCTGTGTGAGTCAGCCCTGGGGGCAGGGCTAGGCCTGGGTCTGGGCTTTCTGGAAGGACCTGGTTCAGAAGCTCAGGAGACAGTTTCCGCCTGTTGACTGAGGCTGCCTTCTGGATCAGTCGTTTAGCCTCCTCTGTCCTCCCCTGGGTCAGAAGCCACCGAGCAGATTCTGGTAGAGCCCTGTAGATGGGGAATGGCTACGACCTTGGCACTGGGGTCCCGTGGAACTTTCCTGGAATTCTAGTGCCAACTGAATCCCACGCCCCCACCCTTAAAGGCTGCCTCTCCCAGACTGGCCTCTGACTGTCCCGTGAATGTTGGGGCTGTACTCTAAACTCCCCCCACCATCTCCCACAGTGCAGCTAGGGGTGGCTTGCTCCTGGAAAGTGTCTCCTCACCAGAAGTAGAAGAAGAGCAGGAAGACAGGCGCAGTGCCAGCGATCTGGAAGAGCCTCCAGTTGCGGACGAGGTAGGCCAGTCCTGCTAATGCCACCTGCCCAAGGGCATAGGCGCACTGGTCCAGGACCAAGATCCGAGTTCTCCATGAGGTCCCCACCCACTCTGAAACTGTGGAAACAGAGGCTTGAGACTGGGCTAGTCCCTGCCCTCTCACGCCCTGTTCCTCCCAGATGCAACCTGTTAAGTTTGGGGCCTCAGACCCAGCACAGGATGCTCTGATATGACAACGTCAGGTACAGGGTGCCCGACAAAGACCCCACAGGCAGTTTGGGGGCTGTGGCCAGCCCAGGTTCGGGGTCTTGCACTGTTGTTGAAGCCTAGACACTCACGCAGAGTGATATGACTGAAGGTGAACCCAGCCACAGCAGTTGCCACAGCAAAGCGCAGGACCATGTAGAACTGAAAGCTGGGCACAAAGGCCGTGGCCAGGCCGATGAGGCCGAAGAGTAGGAGCTGCACCAGGATAGTGGCCTTGCGACCAAACCTGAGGAAACAAAGAGCAGGACTGTGGGGGAAGAGTCCTACCTGTGAATCTATTTGAGGAGAATGAAGCAAGGGAGACCCAGAGGCCCAGTGCCCTGAGATCCCTGTCTGAGGGAGGAAATATGGCCTTTCCCTGGGGGGAATAGGACCTTATCCTAAAGGGCAGTGGGAAGGGAATAAGGGAAAATCTTGGGTGCGAAAGGAGCCTAAGAGCAGGTTAGGTGAGGGCTGAATGGGTCAAGCTTCTTACCAGTCACAGAGGGGCCCAAAGATGAGGGCCCCAAGTAGGAGTCCAGCCATGTACACTGACTGCGAAGTGTCCTTCAGGGACTTCCGATCACAAACCAGATTGAACTGAGGAGACACAGGCAGATGTGAGTCTAGGGGCCACTTCAACTCTGAGCCCACTACAAGCCTCTTAAGGCAGATGCCCATGATTCCCAAACTGTGTGCCAAGGCACCCAGGCCATCATACTGAACTCATTGGGTACAGCAGGATATTTACAATTTTAAAGGAAATTAAAACTGTATTAGACATCTGTCTGGCATCACACAACTGCTAGCTCAGGAGGGTGCACGGTGTCCCTGTGAGATCACACTGCTTTCTTTTCCATGACTTCATAGCTATGTGAAGTCTTGTTTTTGGCAGTTGCTATGAAAAAAAGCAAATGCCATGTGAAAACCAATGTGGAACAGACAACAGACAATGTTGGCAGTGTTCAAGGACTGAGAAGTTGTACAGTACCTGGTAGGTGCATACATCCTATGGGAATTGGACTTCTATAGAATGAAATAAAAATATTTTAATTTTAATTTAAGTGTATTATTTTATTTAAAAAACTGCTAAGTTATTAGGATATAAACACTTGTTACTTGAACAGGTGTTAAGTATTTCTTTTGACCTGGAGATGCCACATAAAATTACCGACACATGAATGGTGCAAAGTTTGGGAACCTCTGACCATTAATTTCTGCTTCTTGACAAATGGGGCCTCTTTTCCACAGCCAGGGAGGACTTACTTGGGCCTCTCCAAGTTGTCCTTTTGGCTGCAAAATCCCCCAGAAACATCAGAATCCTAAGAAGCCCTCACACATGACTTGAGGAAGACTATTAGGACAGAGGAACACATATACATACACAGGCACAGAAGGAAGAAAGGGGGGATGGAGAGGGAGAGAAGAAGGTGGAAGAGGAGGAGAGGAAGATGGAGGGAGAGAGGGGGGAGAGAGGGAGAGAGAGGAGGAGAGAGAGAGAGCGAGGAGATAGGGAGGAAGGGTGGGTGGCAGGGCAATAGGGAGGGAGGCACATAGCTCAGTTCCATGCACAAATATCTATGGGGATGCATCTTGTAAGCCCCTTCAACCTTGACAAGGACGACTCCAGCATTTCAGGTGCTACTCCTGTGTTGGGTGCTGTGCTCAATGCTTCACGTGTGTTGTCTGCTAATTCCAACAATCCTAGGCTTTCTATTACCTTCCCCCTAGGAAGGAAAGATCAGGTTGCTAATCCCATGTCCCATAGCTGGGTGGTAGTTGAGGAGTTGAGACATCCCTCTTGCCCTAGACAGGGAAGGAATGTGAGTGAAGGCTAAGAGAACGTATGCCAAATGAATGAATGAATGAACTAATGCCTATAACTAGCCAACTAGCCAATCACCATCAGTTGACAAACTTTTAGTATGAAATTAACCAGTTTAGGAGTCACCACTGTATTCATACTTCTGTTTTCAAGGACAGCTGTTAATTTTTAAGGAACTTTCAATACGTGTCAAATGAGTAAATGACTGTCCCTAGGAATGAAGCAGGGAAGGACAGGGGACTTGAAATTATTCTTCTGCCCAGTTCTATCCTGTCTGGTTTTCTTTCTAGCAACCACAGATTGCCTTTGTAGTGAGATACCATTTAAAATAAATAATAAATAAAGGCCTGCAGCTGCCAGGCTCTGGAATCAGAATTGAGTGGCTTAGTGTGACCTTGAGCCTGTTAGCCGATCTGGGGCTGGGCTTGGCACATGCAAAACGGGCATTGAATATACTACATAGCATCACATGACAGGATGAAAGGAACTGAGGAACAACATCCTTAGCTCAGTGGCTGTTTTACAGGAAGTCCTCGATCGTGTGGCTAGGTAGAGGGCATGCTTGGCCCCGGTGCTCAGGAAGCTCTCAGTTGGTGACACAGATGTCTCAGACACAAGGAGTGTAGTGCTCTACAGGCACGAGTGCTAAGCCAAGGGCGCGCTCCAGGGCTGACCCCGGTCAATAGTCACCATTCCCCACCTCTTTCCCTGCTGTCCTTATGCCTCATCTCATCAAATCCCCATCTCACGCAGTGATGCTTGTCTTTCCCACAGTGCGGCAGCAGAGGCTGAGGCTGGGGAGGTACCAAGATGTACCCAAGCCCACAGGGTGGTGTCATGCTGCAGGTGGCACAGAGATGAGGAGGACCCCATCTTCCTCCGTCACCAGTCATCACCCTCCCCAGCCCTAACGTCCACAGTGGGTGGTTCTGTTGGGGCCTGCCACAGTGGCTCAAAGGTCCCACCCTTAAGTCTTGGAGCAGACCTCCTCTCACAACCCTCCCCTACTCTTAAACCTTCTGTGGCTCCCTTTGGTCTCTAGGAGAACGAAATTCCTCAGCACTACATCCAAGACGCTGTAGGAGCCAGTTCTTACCTATTTCCCAGCCTCTTTTGTCATGCCAGCATTTTTTGAATATGCCAGATCAAGCATTTTTCCACCTCCAGACTCCAGAAGTGGCTGTTCTCTCTGCTTCCCCATCCGTCCTATTCTTCCCTCTTCTTTGGTCCCAGGACAGATCATACTATTGCTACTATTCATTGATGGTATTCCCACCTCTCATTCAGAGGTCTGTGTGGGCAGAGCTGGGAGCCAGTTTTTTCTCTTTTTTTTTTTTTGAGTTGGAGTCTCACCCTGTCGCCCAGACTGGAGTGCAGTGGC